TTTTTTCATGCATGGCCGGCCAAGTGGAGGAAGAGAGAGAAAAAATCTCACCTACCCCATTGTACTCTTGTCCACTTTCTTAAGTTTCCCTTAGAAACTGATAAAAATTATACTGACTATAAGAGAGTAACTTAGCTTACAGGAATTCGTTTCCATTTCTGACGGTTCCTTTTTCTACTGTTTATTTACAGTTAAATGTTAAATCCTTGACTGCTTTGGATATCACATTAAATTCTTATTCGCGTAATATCTTGAACTGTTTACAGTCTTGAAATTAATTCTAGACTGAACAAATTCTAAATTTAACTATCCTGCGTTAATTTTCAGAAATGACGTTGTTTCTGACGGTGTCAACTCCCGAGTTTACATTATACCCTTCTACTATGGGTATTTATCTTCTGACTTTGACCTAGCTGTCTGGCAATTAAGGATTTTCTCTTTTTTAAAAATGTCAGTGCGTTTTTTTTTTTACGCTGCTAACATCATGCTGTGTTTGGAGATTCTTGAAATTAAGATTCTCAAACTATACTTGTACTGAAAATTATTCCGCCTTAAAGTACGGCAAGAATTTATCGATCGAATTTACTTGATCGAAAACATGAACTTAACATGAAATCTGCTACAGAATTTAGGAATACATATATTGATTCCATAAATCCTTCAGTCACATAATATTTTCTAGGAAAATCCTTAGCTTAAATAAATAAATTGTATTATTTAAAGTCTGGAATTTTCTTAGTCATTACAATTTACACATATATAAATTACTTTTGCTTTTATACTTTTCCTCTGAATTTTTTCCTTCTTTAATTTATAGGTTTATTTACGTATTTATTTATATACATTTTTTCACTATTTTTAATTTCCTTTCTTTTCCCCCTATAAAATATATATGACCAAGTTTTATTGAAGACTCTTAATTTATTTGTTCATCTATAGAGAAGAAAGCAACTATATGACATGAAAATTTATATTTATTTATTCATTTCTATATGAATTTTATTTGTATATGAAAATTGTGTCCAAATCCCGCTATTAATATATCATGACTCTCTTTATTCTTGGTGTACCCACCTTTTCTCACTTAAGTCTATTGACAATCTCTTTGTACTCTTCTTTTACTTATTTCAATGTCTTTTCCTTCCCTATTTCCTTCTATAATTTAAATTTGTTAACAATCTATTTGTTTTCCTCTTTGGTTATTCCAATACCTCTACCTTTTTTTGTATTGTTGTCTCATTCAGAAATCACTCACACTCGGTTCACTTCATTTTTTTCCCCGGTGTTGTTGCCTTGACAACCCATTTTGCAATTTTATTCCGTTTATTCGTTTTAACTGTGCTTTGTAACAAAATATGCGTTGCAAGCTATATTATTTTACAAACGTTAGTCCTTTCCTCTTTTAGACTATCTAAACAGTAATCTTTTTGCAATACTGCAATTTAGACTCTTTTGTACTTAGCTTCTTATCTACTTTATTTGCTCTTCACTCCCCTACTTTCCTTAATTTGCTACTGCATTAGATTATATAGACCATCTATCTCTTTATTTCCTCATTGTTTCCGGTTCTTTCGCTTGCTATATAAATTGACTTATTTATCTTACGTTGATGAAGATATTCCATATCTAAGCCACCATTATTGTACAAGGATCATATCTATTCACATATTATCAACTTTGCTAACTGCTTTTCATACTTTATGTTTTGCATTTATTCGCTTGCTAATTCATTCACATTTTGATACATGTCATGTTCCTACTCTTCATTTTATTTATAAACTTTGTGCAGCGACGTCTTATTACAGAGGATTTTTAATTTCTTTTGCTCATTTATGATGAAAGAAGCTCAAAATACGCAGATGCATATGCTAATTCATTCACTAATGTAGCTTTTGTTGATAAATTTAATTTATTCATTATTTGTATCTTATTATTTAATTTTGTATATAATTTTATATAGCAGTGTAAATTTTAAACTTTTGTGGTCACATAAATTTTTAATGTTATTTAGTTCATTATAGACATATAAAGATGCAGATATGAAAATTATTCCGTTTGTCTCAAACATATAAAAATGCATATATCAATTTATTGCACAGTTTTTTAAGTCCTGTGCTTTTCACATGTTTTTGCTTGGCTACTACTCCCTTAAGGCAGTGTTTTAATAGTATTGATAGTATTGTAGTTATGGTTAATAACTACTGTCCAGATTTTATTAATGTCTGCTATTGATATTGGATCCTGTGACCATCTTCTTCTAATTTTTTTTTCAAATTTATGTTTTGCAACTAAAAAAAAGGAGAGGAAAAGAAAAAAGAAGACCTGAAACCCAAATGCATTGTAAATAACCTCTTATAATAACATCATGAAGATATGTTCATGTATAAATATGTATATATAAATTAATACTCTACTATAAAAATTATTAGCTCTTTACATAATATAAAATTCTTACCGGTGCAACGCGGGGATAAGACTAGTATTGATCTACAATATGTTTTCTCTGCAATTTCAAATTTATAAAAAAAAAAAAAAAAAAAAGCTTTTTCCGGGCCCCACAATCAATCTGCTGCAGCCGTCTTCTCAACGACATTACCGGTCACAATGGCATTTCCGTCATTTTCACACCTGAACTTTACCGATCACAATGGCATTTCCGTCATTTTAACACCCAAACTTTACCGATCACAATGGCACGTCCGTCATTTTAACATCCAAACTTTCCCGCCACCATCCTCTGTTACCAACAAGACAAAACCTCCAATCCAAACGCTCAAACGGTAACCCAAAATCTCCATTGATGAATTGATCTCAGACCAAAAGAAAAACGCAAGAAACAGATTAACAAATATTTTTCTCTCAATCTTTGCCATGGCTTATTGTCGGATAATTCTGCACCTCCTCTTGGCGATTCTCATGGTCTACGTTTCCTACTTGAGACAAATGTTGATTCTTGAGCAGAGAGTGGAATTCTTAGAGATCTTTCCGTCTTCGCCTTCACCGAGCAATTCCTCGTCCTTGGACCCGGATCCTCGATGGTGGATTTACCAGTTTCTCTTGTCCGCGAAGCATGAAGAGAAGCTCGAAACCGGAAACTCCTCTTCTCGTCCGATCGAGTACGATTTCTACCATGATTCGTGCCCGAAAGCCGAGCAAATCGTCCGAGCCATTGTCGAGGACCTCTACAGAGCCCGCCCCGAAGTCGCCCCCGCGCTTCTGCGCCTTCTCTTTCACGATTGCTTCATCCAGGTCGGTGTTTGATCTTACTCTTTCTTCAAAGATTTCGTTTTTTCTTGTATAATAATTTCGATTTTCGGTGAATTTATTAAGGGATGTGATGCCTCGGTCTTGTTGGACTCAACTGAAGGAATGACTTCGGAGAAAGATTCTCCTTTGAATGAATCTTTAAGAGGATTTGGTTTGATTGACCAAATCAAGTCAAAGCTCGAAGGACATTGCCCTGGAGTTGTTTCTTGTGCCGACATTCTTGTCTTGGCTGCTAGAGATAGCGTTGCATTGGTAATTTACTAACGAAATTACCCCACCAAATTCAACAGAAAATTACTTGGTTTGCTGATTTTGTGCGAGTTTTAAGTCTGGAGGACCATTCTATCCCGTGTATACCGGTAGAAGAGACAGCACTGTCGCTTTTTCGGACCGTGCAACGGCTGAGCTTCCGAATCCCTATGATCATCTTCCTGTGCATCTTGCCTCGTTTGCGTCTAGGGGATTTGATGGAAGAGAAATCGTCACCCTCTTAGGTAGTAAATAGACACACACACACACACACACATATATATATTTGTGTACTTTTCTTTATAGTGTTTTGCTAAATTTGCATGGAAATCTTTGTTTTTCCTTTGCATGACCAAGGAAACGTTTAGCAATTTTAGCCAAAAAAAGAAAAAAAAAAAAAAAAGGGAAACAGTTTAGGAAGGATTAAATGGCGTGATTAGATAGTTTTACTCAAGTTTTAGATTCCATTTTGCAGTAGTTTGAATGAGGCCTTTCCCACCACTATTCTCTTTCTTTTGTTTTAAACTTAAAAAATAAAAAAGCACGAAGACAATTAGAATCCAATTTATTCTCTTTGACTGAACTGCGCCTTTTTTTTTCTGTGAACTGATTGAAGAATTATTTGGTTTGTTCTTCTTTTCCTGTTTTGTAAATATTTATTTTAATAAATTCCTCATCTTGGTTACAGAGAATCTGATATGATTTTTCCACTGAAAATTCAATGACAATTGTGTCCTTTATTTCATATTGTCCTTATGCAACATTGACTGTTTTCTATTCCTGTTAAAGCTTATCCACTGCTGTTATTACAATTTGCCTTCTCTCTGTGATTTTAGGTGCTCACAGCATTGGAGTGATCGACTGCAAATTCTTTGAAAAACGTCTCTACCACTTTGATGGAAGTAATAAGCCTGACCCATCCCTGGACCTTGGATTTCTGGACCTCATGAGGACAAGATGCAACAACAGTAACATAGAATCTTCTCAAGGACCAGAAACTTCTTCACCTGACTCACCCTCATTGACAACAGTTCATAATTCATCAACCGAGGAGCGGGGACTAGTGCCTATGAACTATGAAGGATCAGCTTTTGGGACCCAATACTACCACAGCCTTTTGCAAGGCAAAGGAATCCTCTATGCTGATCAGCAGCTTATGGCAATGGAAGAAACTGGGAACTGGGTTAGAGCATATGCTTTGGATGCCTCGTTGTTCCGCCGAGACTTTGCCTTGGCAATGATGAAACTCTCGGACCTCCAAGTCTTGACAGCTCCGATGGGCCAGATCCGGCTCACTTGTTCGAAAGTGGCATAAAGGAGAGGACATGATTGAGGACTGTAAATAACAGTTGTAGTTTCCTAGGTAGTTAAAAGTTTTCTGTTCTTTTGAATTGGTTTTTCCTCGTATGTCATATCACAGCTTTAGTGAGTGGAATATTGTTGGTACTTCTTTAGTCAAACATTATAAATTGTAATAATCTTTCTAAGAAGTTCAAGGTTATGAGGACTCTGATCTGTGCTTAATATTCTGAATATTTTTAGGGCCATAGCAAAATGTTTCTCTAGCCAAAAGGGCAAGTAAATTTGGAGTTCCTGCTAATGAATTTGCCTTTATGTAGAACGAGTCAAGAAGTTAAAATAAAAGTAGACACTGAAGTGAAACACCAGTCAATGGGAAGATATATGCTAAATTGAGAACAACCGTTGTTTGGTAATAGAAACGTCTCTTTTATGCAGAGAAAAACTTCAAATTCCTTGCGATTTTTATTAGCTCACTGCTTACATGACTGGATCAAGCACATGGAAAACAAAGATAAGAAAGAAGGACCACCAAACATGGAATGCAAAATTCAAAAGCGCGCACACACACACACACACACACACAAAGGGGAGAAGAAATGGGAATAAATGGGGACAACAAAACAGATCCATGTACCCAAGGAAAAACTAACATGACCATCTACAACCTAAATGATCCGCGTCTCCGCTTTGAATTGCTGATCTTTGCGGAGGCTTGTGGGATAGACAACTCTGAGTACATATCCACGAAAAACTTGTCAACTATGTCAAGGTAAACCGGGCTCTTAAGGCGGGAATAGTAGTGAATTGCCTCTTCTATATCCAAGGCTTGTTCCATATCACCTGCATCTATCATCTCCAGTTCCCTCATCTTTTGTGCCAATACATGTCCCGTCGCATTTGTGTTCCGCGAATTCGGCTCTTTTGCTTTTCCTACACGGGAACTTCCAATCTTCTTCTTTTCCTTCAGTCCTTGTTTTTTGTTCTTCACAGGATTCTGCTCTTCAAGCTTTAGGTAGTTTTCATCACATGCACTTTCTTCTTCCTTCATTAGCTCTTCCTTTCCTCGCTTGTCTATCTCGTCTAGCCGAGACTCCCACTCCTCATAAAAGCCGGTGTAGATTTGATCAGTCTTGCAGTTCTTCAGCTTGCTACTTCCACAAGAGAAAGAGTTGAAGGAAAAAGATTTCGGTAGCTTGTGGTAACCTCCAAAGAGAAAGGACTTGAGGTTTTGAATGGTTTTCTTGACTAAGACACTGCTTTTATCAATGGTTTCTTTAAACAGCATTTGTGGCTCTGGTTTGGTAGCTGAAAAAGGCTTGTTTCTTTCTCTCTGTCAATCTTCGAGAAGAGACGGAGCTCTTGTCCGCTTATCTTCGTTTTCTTCTCTTCTTCCTGATATCAGTTCCAATATACAGGAAAGACAGATTGAGACAATTCAAGCTTCTTTAACTTACCTAGAGACAAAGGCAATGGAACCTAATGGGAAAACTTAGACTTCTTTTTGGCTTCACTTCCTCTCTTTTGTCCTCTCTCTCTCTCTCTCTCTCTCTCTAAAAATCTGGTGAGGGTGGTTGATTATGAGATCACAGAGGATAAGGCCTTGCCTTTTATGGTTCTTCAGTTTGTCCATCAATGCAGTGAATGTAAAAGGTGTTAAATTCAGATATATTCTGCTGGTGGCAAAAGACATTTAAGAAGAGCTTAACGAAAGTGAGCAACTGGGAAACAAATAATCATGGATGATTTTGTTTTTGACTAGTTGTTGTATAAAGTGCTGAGGCATTGATTAAGATGCAAAGATAAAGCGTACCAGGTTTATAATATTTGGTTTAAAGGTGGTGCTGCGTTTGAGAAAAGCATATTGTGGTAAACTTTAGTGTTCAACCAGAACTCAGTTTGTTACCCATTTTTTTCTGAACCGTGGGACCCAGAAGCCCAATGGTCCTAATCCATTGATAATGAGGTCTGCCCCCACGTTCACAAGAAGCAGAATCCCTAAACAAAACAGTAAAACACTATGACTAAACCGTTTTCTAACTATGCTAGCGAGTCTCCTAGAAACACAAGTCAATTTCTTGTCGCCGCCGAGAGATTGATGGGGCGATAAGTGCAGTCATCCCCCGTGCAAGAAGTCATTCGCTCAACTAGAACCACTGCGGGTGGTCATGGTGTATGGCCAATCCACTTCAAGAGATATCTATATACACCACCCCTAGTATTACCTGGATATGCCATTTCTTTAGGAAAGAAAAAAGAAAACAATGTCTTGTCATTTGCAATTGCGATGCTATTGGTTGCGCGAAACTAAACATCTCGATATATTGGCAAAGGCCGGGCTGCTGTCCGAGCAATCAAGCGACCCACATGGGAAATATTAGGTCTCCATCAGGTCCCACAATCCCATATGGCTTGCCTAGTTACATAATAGATCAAAAGTGTATAACATTATTGTAATATTGCTCGTGAACCAAATACCATGTGAACGAAAAAAAAAAAAAAAAAAAAATCTTGCAGCATTTATAAGAATTAACAGCACGGTCCCCAATCTGCAAAGAATTAGGTGCTAGAGCTTGTTGATTGGCGTGATAAGGTGCATTTAGATTTCTCAACATTGAAGTCGCTTTCAAGCAGTTGCTATGTTAAAAGCTACCGAACGACTCTAAATATAATTTACTTGAAAATGGAGTCCTATTGCAGCTTGCAGAGACATGGTAAATAATGTTTTGTCTCTTTGATAACTGATGGGGACCAGATAGTGACTTAGATTCCCCATGTTAGGTTTGCCTCATTCATGAGCCTCATTGTAGGGCTGCGTTTGCACTTGGAAAGCATTCAATCCTTAGGCCTCTGTCTAACCCTAACATCAAATAAGACAATGGTGGGTTTTTTTTTTTTTTTTTTTGAATAAGACAAATTTTTTTTGAGTACTGCATAATTGCAGAAAACGACAATTGCATAAGAAAACGACAATTGCACAAGTGATTATAAAGATACCACTCTGTAGCTCTGTCACCTTCTGCCCTTAGACATACAGCCTCAGCGACTAGATTTAGAAGACTTCATTAAATGAGTACTTCCAAGGCAGAACGGAATGCAAATGATCTCATTATAAAACTTCGTTTTTGCTGCGTCACATTAAGTTTGTATCATATTGCAGTGCTGATAATGGTAAAATAAAACTTACAAGCGTGACGCTCATCAAGCATTGTATCTAGGCCATTGCTCAAAATAAAACAAAATGCTCAATAAGACTACGGCATTTTCACTATTATGTAGTAGCTAAATAAAACCTAAAAGGATAGGACATACATGGAATTTCCCCATCCTGCAGTTTGGTCTGAATTTTTCTGTATTTTAATTCTATTTCAATTTTTATGAACGTGGGTATCTTCCTATAGTTGCTACAAGCACAACTGACTATAAAGATCGACTAAAAACCTCGTTTCTTGTTGTACTTGAAGAACTGATGCAGCATCCTATGCAGTTGACCGTAATTATCAGTTGAAACTAGACGACCTTTTATCCATTCGGGAAGCTTGCTAGCTGGGTGTGAAAAGCTTCTTTTTGAGGAATCGGATGTGTATGCGTACCGTGTATCAACCAGCAAAATTGCTGCATAATCATTTATGTGCCGAATTGCTCTACCTGAAACAGACAAGGAAACAAAAGATTGTCAAGAAGATTAGTCAAGTGTGAATCCAATGTCAATAAACAGCACCTAAAACAAATATGTAGACAAGGGGGTAACGATATAAGAGGCTAATGGAAATAATTAAATGTCACACTCCTGAGTAGAAGAATATTGTTTGAACAGCTTATTTATTCATCTCAATCAGTCTACCATGCCACACAATTGAAATATCATGAATGGCACAGCGAAGGCATGTCAAAACTCAGAAAGTATGATGAAGGTTTTACTGTGTCCGTTCGGATAACCTAATGGGGCGTGTTTTTCACACCTAAGAGGTAAACGTAAGAGAAGAAAAGATAACTAAATAATGGCCATTTTAAGAAAGTGGCATGTCTGATCCCAGATGGAATATTTTTCCAGTTTAACCTCATTTTTGGTTTTGTTAAGTTAGCATAAAGTAGTTAGCGCGCACCAATTGACTGATTTACAGCTTTCATGCAAAGATTCTCATAGTATTGTTTTCCTCTGTGCTTGCAGCGTCTGAGAATGTCAAAGCCAGCTTTTACATCTCCATCATTTATCTCATTGCTAACTGAAAGATTTGAAGGTTTCACAGAATTCGGATTTCCCAATCTGTCAATAAACTTCACTCTCTCAATCAACTCGATGTCCGATGGGCTGGGGTAGGGTAGTCCAACCATGACTATACAACGGCCCATCCCATCGCTTAAGTTGATGCCTTCTGATATCTTAGCACCAACAACAGCAAGAAGCAATGCACCACTTTGAGTTGGATTATCTTTCAGAGTCCCAGTTGATAATGTATCAATTGTTTCCTTGTATTCCTTCAGAACAGATTCCACGTCTGTATTCTTTCTAGGTTCTCTAAATACACGCTTCTTCTTTATGATCCGTTCAAGGATGCCCGAAGCCTTCCAGACATCATAAACCATTCCTTCATAATCAAATGAGGAGAGGAACACAACAATTCCTTCAGGGACTGCTGTCGCCAAGTTGCAAATTAAAAGCCCAAGCTCCTGTATCTGTAAATGAAAACAATGACAAAATAATCAATTGCAAGGTACTATTACAATCAATTACGTCAAAACTGATTAACAAATACACACGTGCATAAAGGATTATTAAGGATAATGCTACATATGCTCACCATTTTCGATGAACTTCGAGAGCTGTAGCTAAAATCAAAAGACTGGCCAGAAGGGCCGTGAGAAACTGCAACTGGCAAAATACTGTCAGGAGGGACAATATGATTACATGAGAAAAAAAGCAACTGGTTCAGTGACAACTGTGGGAAAAGTCGTTCCCTTGTTTCTTCTATAGGTTGTAGAGTTCCCCCAGCCAAAACTACGGCATGTGCTTGATCAACAATCTACATGAAATTCAAGATTTGATATTTAAAACTAGTAAAACATAAGTTGTGTGTTGGAATCAAGGCATCATAACCCATGAAACTTTGGCAAACCTCAGAGAAAATTTTTTCACCAGTCAGCATAACATATTTTAAGCAACCTCCTTGTCGCCCAGAGGAAGTTGGCCTTGACCTTGATATAATAATCCGGCCATCGCCATTCTTATTTGTCAGGGACAGCAACATATCAGCTAATGCCTGGAAACCAGACAAAGAGCTTCCATCTTCACCACATTCCGCAGTTCCTTTAGGTGCCAAACTGTTCTTGGAGATAGATACTTTATCTCCATATGCACTGACCTGGAAAACCAGAACATGAGGGGGGGAAAAAAAGTGGAAAGCGCAGGAAAGAAGTTTAAAATCATAGGAGAATAATAGAAAGGAGGATTTACCTTGTGCATGATGTTGCTTTCCTTTAGATACTGGAGCAATTTGATCAAGTTGATATTATCTACGTTAAGAGAAAACAAAAAATCATTAATGTCCGTTGAGGAACAAAAGGCAAAATTTCCTTTAGATGCCTTCTCAATATCTTGGGATGGATCTGTATAACTATCATCCTTCTCAGTGCACAGACATTTGAGAAAAGCACGACAAAGCACCATCAGAGTTTGGATGTATCTCCGATTTCCAGGTCCCAAGAGATTATGAAATCTTTCAAAGTATTTCTCTATGTTGTATTGCACATTCTCCAACTGTGAAAAATTCAGAACAAATAAAAATATTCATTTATTCAGCTATCAATCAAAGAAAAAGTATCAGTTTTAAAAGGCTAAATTTATGGGAGCCACATCTAACCTTAGAAGTATGCTTGGTAAAGACTAGATAAATAAGAAATCAAAGTATCCAAATCAGTCAGTTGAATTCAAATAAGGAAATTGTCAAGCAGCTTTCAGGTTCATTTAGACAACAGTAATTGGTTTACCTGCGGCAAAGTAATTTTTGAGTCGTACATGCTGAGGAGCGAGTCCGCTAAATTATGAGCCTCATCTATGATGACGATATTATTCTTCAAATTCAAGCCAAGTGATTCCCGGGACGATTTTGACAGTAGAGATTGATACGGTAATACAACAAGATCCGCTGAAGGAACCATGCTTCTAGAGCCATAATATGGGCAAGTCTTCATACTTCTTCCAAGGTGAACAAGATCTTCAATATCCATTGCACCTTGTTCAGATATCTCAGTCTTGAATTGCTTTTGTAGCTTATATTTTCTAAGCATCGGGCATCCAGAGGAAGCCTTGGTCCTACGTATTCTTCCTCCTGCACCTAAGTTCTGCAAATTGACGCTGCATCAGTAGGAAATCTCTTGCCGAGTAATTGTCATATGTATAGCATGAAGATTCTATTGTTTAACGCATGCATGAAATTGACTTTTCATTCCTCTACAGAGAATAGAAGATTTACAATCATTGTAAACTTAAAAGAGTACAAGCAATCAGCAGGCAACATACAAAAGCTTAAATAAAGGCACTGCATAAAATCAGTTGTGAAAATGAACATATTTTCAGGGGTCGGAGAACCCAAAACCGTGGATCATATAATGGTCATGACATAAAATGACACCGTTGAATACCTTGATTTTTAAGACCTTATCATTTTTCTTCTTTTGAAGTTCCAAGCAGCGTTCATTAATGTGAGTAGTGCTCCCAAGCTTCAGCACCTCTGAAACAGATACCCATAAGCAATGTAAATGAATACAAATTTTAATGTAGAGATGCTATGACAAATTACAATACCTTCATTAATGCAGAAGTTCTTCCTAGAACCCAGACAAACAACTTTGATCTCATTGGCAAACACAGTCTTCCGTAACTCCTTTATGAACTGTGAAAGCTGTGAATGAGTCCGACTACAAAAATAAACCTTTAACTTCTCCTCTTCCTCATCCCCATCGTCAGAACCATCCTCATCCTTCTCGTCGCTTGACGAACTAAGCGAAGCCCCCAAAGCCTTCCTCTTCGGCTTCCCATCCCCAGCAGCTCCTTCCCCTTCACTTTCATATTCTTCCAACAAAAACTCCTCATCATCCATCTCTGCTTCACCGTTTGTCATGTTCTTTCCCTCATTCTTTCTACAACAATCTTTCACCACGTCCCCACTCGAAATATCTCTGCAACTTGCATGGTTCTTTCCAAGATTGCATTTCCCTATTCCCGCCCGAAACTTATTCTTCTTCGCCTTCTTGTCCTGACCTTGATCGTCTTTCTTTATGACAAAATTTCTCATCCAATCAGGTTCATCATCCGAGTCAAATGTACCACCTTTTTCAGAATTCTGATCAGATTCAACCCTTTCCCCAGTTTTCTCCTTTTCCCTCTTATCAATTACCCACTGCAATGCACTACAAATTATGCTTAAAGTTTTCCCAGTCCCTATTCAAACATAACAATTCCAAGTCAGTGCATGACAAATTCGGATAAATTCACCATTTTCACCCTCCTTGTCAGAATAGCATAAATTTCTATTTCTGGGCAAAATTTCCTACGCCCCAATACTAGAAGCAAACCTTAAGCTCATCGAAATTTCGTCCCTAACCAAATTCTAACTCCAAATTTACCAGAAAAAGTGCAAAGAAAAAAGAGAAGCTAATTAAAATCAAAACTCTGGAACACAAATTCCTACTCATCAGAATAAATGCAATTGCAAATAAGTATAGAGAAAAATAAGACTATGAAAAAGCATTTTCGCGGGTTTTTTTCTCTTGATTTTACCGGTGGGACTTTCAAGCATGGAGACGCCGCCATTGTTGAGAGACTGATAGAGCGCGTTCATGAAATCAATCTGTATGGAGTACGGATTGTACGGAAACCCTGGAAACTTCGAAGCCTCAACTTTTTGCTTTTCCATTTCTCTTTCTTTTTCGCTTCGCTTTCTCTTCTCTCTTCCTTTCTCTTTCGCGCGCTTCGACCTGGTAAGGATTAATATATAGCGCGAGGGACTGAGCAAAATATTTAAAAGGACTATTTTTATATTTGCCCCAAAATTATGTTACTTTGTCACTTTGTCCCAAATTATTCAAATGGAGCCATTCCATTCCCTCATACTTTGATACATTTGCAAATGGGAGATAACCACTTCTAATTAATATCATTATTATTGGGATTTTTTTTGTTGTATGGTTTTTTTTTTATATATATATTTGTTACCTGACTTTCAAAACGTGCTACTCTATTTCCTCAAACTTTATTGTTGACAAATACCTTCCATTCAATTCTCTTTGTTTTTTGGTTATTTTAACCCACGTAGACACCTTCTTAAGATAGGTGAAAAATATATTAGTAATGAATATCATCTCCTACATAAGTGATATTTTTGGCTTGAAAATTTATTTCTCGCCAAAATCTATCGTCTCTGTTATAACTTGTTAAAAAGACAAAAGCTTGTTGTGGTTTGTGTGTGTGTGTGTTTTTTTTTCATGCTTAAGTTTTCTTTGTGTTTGGTTTGAATAGCCTGTTGTAGAAAAAAAATTATGCATGGTGTTGTCATATGTGGAGTGGATTAACGTGTGGAGATGCTCCAAGGTTGCAAGAAAAACGGCATTAGGGACCGTTTAGTTCGTTGATTCGAGTTGATATGTGATTTTATGTAAGAATATTTTATTGTAGCAAAAAAGTTAGATGTGACTGTTTCTGAAAACTTTTTAATTTAGCAAAACTCGAATCGGTAAAATAAATAAGACTTAATTTTGTTAAGCCAAATGGAAATAGGTGAAAGAGTGATGCTTGCTAACGAAGAAAGTGGCATGTTTTTAAAGTTGAGGGACAAATTGCATAAGTAACAAAATTCAAGAGAAAATATAGGAATAATTAAAACAAATGCCTAAAAACTAACAAAATTGGACAAAAAGTGGTTATTTGCTAATAGAAGAAAGTCCAGGGGACAAAAGTTGGGAAGCAAAATACCATAAGTGACGTAGTTTGAGGTAAATATATTAAAAAAATTTCTATTTAAAATTAATATAACTTATACATATTGTCACGTCCTAAGCTCTAAAACACGTGGAGGTTCGTTTAGAAGTTAAACATGATTAGAAAAGTAATTAAACATTTAGTAACATAATAATCAAAAACATAAGTAAACTATTAAAGAAATTTCTAAACAAACCCCACATTTTTCTGAAATTAAATTACAAGAAAGTGATGAGGACTTTTATACTTTTTGATAAAAAGAGGTTTAAAAATTGCGCCTCTGGTATCATTCAGGGCTTCACCCACAGGATATATAATATTACACATACATGAACATGTAATTAACATTACAGATATCAACCACAGTCTAGAAACTTAAGGTTTAGAGTTTCAGAATTTACAATCCTTACATTTGTACACAGGATGAAAGAGTGCAATATCCTCACTTGATCGGATGGTAGCGACTAACTCGGCTACTCAGCACTGCTCCTAGCATCGCTTGGGAGGGGTTTAATATTTATAGAAACAAAATAAAATATGAGCAAAAGGCCCAGTATGATATTTAGTTTCAACACAACAGCTGGAACCTAACATCATTTTTCTGAAATGAAATATAAACTCAAAAATTTCGTATTACAGGCATCCGCAAGTAATTTATCCTCTGATAAATTACTTACTCAACCACAAGCACAAGCATTATCACCACCGTAGTGGCCCGGTCCGGGTTTTGGATTCTGCCCCCAATGATACGATCTCTATATCCAGTCTAGGCCATTAGCATGCTTACCGGTTCGCAAAATATCTTATCTTAAGAAATCATTCATTAAAATTATGAAATAGTTCATTATAATTCTAATAGCTAAAATCAAGCTATTGTGTCAAAATGTCTTTCTTTCGCAAACATGTCCTTTCTTTAAAACATTTTCAAGGTCAAAACTCTTTAAAAAACAGGCTATCAAAGAAAATGACAAGAAATCCTACCTCTTAAGCACCAAACATGTGGTTAGCGTTGCGCCATCCTAGCCTCCACTTCCTCGAAGCCTTCAATTCGATTCTTCAACTATCATTGATACAAAACAATGCTTTAAGATTCATTTCTTATTCCTAAAGCTGATCAATCTCAATTATATACTTCGAGTTTCTATTAGTGTGCCTTAATCAAATTCCAAGTTCATAAATCATTCATGTTTCAAATCACCATTCCAAGGATTTTAATCTCAAAACATAGATTAAATATGTTAATCCATCTACTTTAGATGCCCAAATGAAACTAATTTGGGTTCTCTTTGAAAATCGAGGTCAAAACAGGGTTAAAACAAACATTTTAGGCGAAACAGGTTCAAACCACGTGTACACTGGTCAACCGGTGATAGGGAAGTTGTTCTTCACCAGTCAGCCAGTGAAAAGGAAACTGGTCGACCGAACCGGTCGGCCGGTGGGAGCTGAACAGCTCGACCAACATAGCCGATCCGAAAAAAATTCGGCCAAAACCTACAAATCCAGTTCAAATCCGATATATTTTCAAAGAAATTCAACAAATCCAGGTTCCAGACAACAAATCAAGTCCAATGAACCAAAAATTCCCAATTTTCATCAGGATTTAACCTCCATCAAAATCCATTTCGAACTAAAAATAGGTTTTTCTAAAGGAAAAATTTGAGATTCAAGAGAAGTTTTTCAGAAATCTTATCTCAAATCATTCTCTTAACGTTGAAAACTCCTTGAAATTCTTCTTTAGTTCGAAATCCGGGTGATTTGGTGACAAATTAGAAGAGAGAGAGAGAGCATGTGAGAACGGGAGAGAGGGAGAGTGAGAGGTGCACGGAAAGGGAAAGAAAGAAAAGAAAGAAAAGGAAGGAAAAGAAAGAAACGAGAAAAAAAAGAAAAAGGAAAGGAGATAAACATCAAAGATATTTAGGAAATTATACCAGAAAATGTGTCTACACACCATTCTGGGGTAAAAATATAAATACTGAAAATATTTAAATTCCTTAAAAATATTTAAATTTACATAACAGAAAAATTTAATGAACAATAATTAATTAATTAAACCAGATTAGGCACACTAATAAATCACAATTATCTTAATTAATCTTGTTTAATTCATCGAGGTGTTACACATATAACATAATTCAAAAATTCAAAAGTATTTTACAAATAACAAAAACTAAAATTATTATAATAGTAACTCCGTGATTTTATAAGATAAAACCTAAAAACTGCTATAATAATTACTTTTTAATTTTGTTAATCATTAAAATATTAATAAATTTCTAGATTTTAATCACTATAACTAAATACTTTTTTTTTTTTCTCGAAACACTATAAATGCATACTTACATTGTAATATTTACCAGATGATAAATATATCTGAGAATATGGATTTTATAGTATATAAGTCTAAAGTTCTATCTTTTTGTTCTTAATTAATACACTTTTTAACTAATATTTTTTTTTTTACTAAAGAGTATAAATCAAATAGAAGGGGAAAAAATGTAGACCCGCCCAGCATCCTTTTCCCATTTTAAAATAATATTTCAATCTGGGCTGTCTATTGTACAACTAGGCCCAACCCATTTTATACCATGAGCGAGTGTTGAATCCAAAAGTCCATGAACCCAATCGAAAAAAAGTGGAAGCCCAATATAGATGTTAGAGCCCGGTCCAAGTGCATTGACTCTAATTTTCCAAAATTTTTCCAACCCTAGAGTTGTAAACCCTTGTAGTTGGCTCTTATAAAAATCGTCCTCTCCGCCGCTGGCTTCTATTTAGCCAAACCCAATCTTCCTTAGCAGCAGCAGCTAGGGTTTCTGCATTTCTCTCTGCACCAATGGTACCTCTCTTTCTCTCTCTAACTCTCACTCTTCAATTCCGTATTCCTTTCTCTGTTCCGTCATTCATGTCCATTCTCGTATGTTCTGAGATCTGTATGTGATTTTTTTGTTGTTTTTTGGGGTTTTTTTTTTTTTTTTTGGGGGTTTTTTTTTTTTTTTTTGGGGGTTTTTTTTTTTTTTTTTCTGTTTTTGGTTGAATCGAAACTATAGGGTAAGGGAACGGGAAGTTTCGGTAAGAGAAGGAACAAGACCCACACGCTCTGCGTGAGGTGTGGCCGCCGCAGCTTCCATTTGCAGAAGAGCCGCTGCGCCGCCTGTGCTTTCCCTGCTGCTCGCAAGAGGAAGTGTAAGTTTCTTGCCCCTAGCTTGTTCTTCCATTGTTAGGTTTCTATCTAGTTGTTTGTCGAAATATTATTATGAATGAATCATAGCGCGAAAATTTGTTGATCCGTTGTTTTAATTTGGTGGTGGAGTAACTCGGGAAGAAATTCTTGTTTTTTCTAGTAGGGTTAGGGAGTAAAGATTTGATTTTCTCGTCTTGGTTTGGGGATTTTTGCCCTTAATTTTGTTCTTTGGTTATTACCTGTGTTCTTTTAATAGACAACTGGAGTGTTAAGGCGATCCGAAGGAAGACCACTGGAACTGGAAGGATGAGGTATCTGCGCCACCTCCCTCGCAGATTCAAGAGCGGTTTTAGAGAGGGTATGATGATTTGTTTCATTCATTTTGATGTCATTTCTTTTTTCCGTTTTGTTTACATTAGTTTTTGTTGATGGTTTTTTTTTTTTTTAAATTGTTTATTGTGGTTCTAATTGTTTCGATGATTGGTTTTTCAATAGGTACACAAGCGACTCCGAGGAGCAAGGGAGCAGCAGCTACTGCATAAAGTGCTTGGTCATTTTGATTTTCAGAGCGTTTATTGTGTTGGGCAAGTTTTTCTAAGTACATTGTTTGATGAGAATTATGACCTCTTCTGTTTTAGGTGTTATTTTTGTTTACTCTAAACTGTAGTTGCTCTAAATTTTGGAGAAGAATGGTTAGACTGCTCTCATTTGCCTCAGGTTTAATGAACTTTTCTGTTCTTATGTTTCGCTTAAGTTGATACTAAAATACTATTATGCCATTCTTGCTTTTGGGCTAATAACATGCATCCACTGCTCATTTGGAGTTAAATTCTGTTGATTGTTCCATTCATTCATAATATTGAATTTGCTCCCTTAGTAAGGTCTTCTGTGTACAAGCAGATAATAATCAAGATAAAACCAATTATATAAAGTTAGGGATTTCAAGACGTTTTGGTTACTCCTTTATATTGTTGAGCTTTAAAGCTAAAGGTCTTTGGACTTTCTTATACGGCCTTTGACAGAAGTGTTGTTGATGAACTGTCTGTCTTAATCTTTGATGAACTAAGATGATATAAACTCTTCGCGTAGAAAGGCTTCTTGAATGCTTTTCTTTTTTGTTTTAACTTTGCCTAAAGTCTTTAGTAGGCGTAGACATTGCGCACGTTCAATTCTATCCGCACATGTTCTTTCCCTGCTGCAGAGCTTTGAATATTTGTTTACGATAGTAGCATTTCTGTTCTAATATCGTCCCTATGATTTTTGACAAACTTAGTTAAAGGGTCCCGGAATGGTGGATTTCAAGACTCCACATTTTAAACCAAACCCAAGTAGTGAAATTGTTTAAAATTCCCATAAGAGCGAAGATTGAAGAGCACAATATTTGCTCCAGTAAGAGCTCCACTATATTTCATCTTCTTTTGATAAATGAAAGGTTTGTTTTTTGGGTATTTATTGTTGGGAAGAACGTTCTTGTTGCAAATTTAGTCTCTTTTTAAGTCTTAAACTTGGGTCTTTTTTATGTTGGAAATACGTTCGTCTCTTTTCGTGCATTTATAGAAGCTGTTTTCTACGAGAGTAGAAGTCTAGTAGTTTGCGTGATACTATCTCATTATCTTATTATTAGGGTATTTATATATTTGCCCCCCAAATTTGTATGACTAACAACTTACTTCCTGAATTTTTTATTTTGACAAGTTACCTCAAGTTGTAAGCATATTGCATTGTCATATTTTGATGATAATTGTATTAAATTAGTGTTGAGAAAACATGTTTGACAAAAAATTCTAATATTATATTTTAAAGGGATAAAATCAATTTGGTATTTGCATTATAACAAAATATTTAGGGGTTGTTTTTTTGTAATAAAATTTAAAAAAAGTTTAAATTCAAGTTATAATTTTATTCAAGTTCATGTTCTTTTAAGTTTTAACTTTATTTAATTTTATTCAACTTTATTCAAGTTGCAACTTCAATTCAAGTTATAATTCAAATTCAATTAAAAAATTACACTCAAGTTACACTTCAAAAGAACAAATCATTAGTTAGTATATGTGTTTTTTATAAGATTAAAATGATATTTTCAAGTTTTAGAGAATATTTTTTCGCTACCCTAAACCTCTTGACGTAAAATGATGATTTTGCCCTTATTAATATTGTCTCATTTTCTTGACTCGGAATTCAATTTTATTAATTAATTAATTAAAAATTTTAAAACATATTTTAATAAATGGTTTAAATATATTAAAATAAAAAATAAAAAGTCTCTCTCTTCTTTCTCTCTCTCCACTCTCACGACAAACTCTGTGGGTGTTTGGAATGCATTTTGTTTTTTGTTTTTTACGTTTATTGAGAAAAAAAAAATGAAATGAAAGGAAAACAATGTTTGGAGTAGCTGACTACAAAAAATGAAAACAAAAACAGTCTTGGTTTTTTGTGTAAAATATGGTAGAAAATGAAAATAATTTAGGGTGCGTTTAGAACTCGTTTCAAAATAATTTTATTTTTTGTATGAAAATGAAAATGAAAACGTTTTCATTTTCATTTTGAAATTATCTCTGAAATTACTTCTGGTAGTTTTATTCAAAGATTGATTTCAGTTAAAAAAAAATTGAAACTGCGTTTGGTGGTTTAATTTTTAAAAACATGTAATAGTATTTAAAATAATAATATATTAAATAAATAATAATTGAATCCCAAATAAAAACACTAATAATTAATAAAATAATTTAAATTATATTACAAATAAATAGTAAATAATTTAAAATAAGATAACTTAGTGATTCATTAGTAAAAAAAAAAAAAGTTACTTAGTGAATAATCTTAGCTTATATTACTGCCGTATATACGAATCCCACATTTGATTAGCTATATGATCCCTAAAATTAACCATGTGATTACGTTGTCGCCGACTACCAATTTCAGATGTTTATGCTTCTTATGCGTCCATACCCTGTTGTCCTTATTGCCCTTCTTATTCTCCCTCAATATCTTCTAAGGGCAAATCGACATCATATTGTCTAAATAGAGGATCATCTTGCGCGTGCATCTTAATTAAATTGTGGATCACACAACAAGCAATTGGTATAAGCGATTGTCTTGGTATCCAATCATAAGCCTACGATTTTAAACCTTACTTTCAAGACCCCAAAGCACCTCTCTATGCAATTACGCAGTGAAGAGTGATAATAATTGAATAACTCTTGTAGTCCTGTTTGTTGGCCACCATTTCTATACATAAGGCGTGAGTTAGGATCAATTTAAAATTATTTGTCATATTATTAGTAGCAAAATGTCGGTGTACTGTCTTTCCAGAATGAAAAAATCTATTTTGTATCTCTCTATTGTGGTCTGAGTGAGCAATCATTCTTAAGAACATCATTAGTGATTCTTCTATTGATATACTTGAAGAAGGCAATAGGTTACAGTCATGAATTAATTGAACAATTGCTTCGAATGTGTCTCGGTGCATACAACACATTTTGAACAGATTTTCAGGATGTCCATACAATTGTTCTAAAACATATTCTTGTCCAGTTAACGCAGAATTACGACGAGGTTGTCTAGTTGGTCTGTTTGTAAGCGACATCAGCAATTGGACACAAATTTGTGGCTCTTCATCATCATCTGATGAGTGAAGAAAGTCAACAATTGTGGCATCATCCTCACTATTTGTAGCATCAAAATACATATTAACCTAAAAAAAGAAACATGACTAGAACTAAACAAACATCCATATAACATTAACTAATCAAACATCCATATAGCATTAATTAATCAAATAAAGAACTCCAATTTAACTCATTCTGCTTAGAAACAAATAACAAAGTTTAAAAAACACAAGTCCGAGAGGTAGTTCAGGCAGTATGTTCAACAATATTTAAAAAAAAAAAACATAAGTCTGGGAGGAAAAAAAAAAAGAAAACAACATAAATAAAGAACCCAATAAATTACAAGCTTCGAATCCATGAAAGATGACGATGAGTAGACATTTTCACAAATATCCTCCTAAATGAAATGTCAACAACTAATTTCTCTGCTGCCTTATTATACGCATCGTCGTCTAAGTACTCCTCATACCTATTCAGTAAATCCATACAAGTTTCAATACTTGTAGTAGGATCCTCTTTCTGAGCCTCAACTGTTGCCATAGTATGGGCTTGCCTATCAACTAAATATTGCTGAAACAAATCAACTTTTTGAACAGATGTCTCACTGCGTAGGGTAGCACTCTTTGCCAAAGCCTCTATAGCATCGTCTACTGTAGCCTTATTCTTAGATCGAGTAATAGGACCCTGAGACCGTTTGCATCTATGGGCTTCTGCATCCTGGACTTCATCTGAGTCCCCTGTAACTTCCTCTTCCTCTTATTCTTCTGGTTGCGTGGCTGTCCTTTTCGCCGCATTCAAAACATTGACGGCTGTATGTGCATTCACTGTCCAGTAGCAACAATCCCAACAAAAATCTTTGAAAGTTGGGCAAAGTTGTGTAAACCCCTTTTCTTGAATTTCTTAGCATCAAGATATTTCTGACATTATAAAGAAAATAGTAATAAATACTCATGTGCAATCTAAAAATACCAATTTAACTCTTTCATATCACATAAGATGGTTATGATCAAAACCTACCGCCACATACGAATCCCACACTTCCTTTTTAGCCGTCACAGTGTTAGCCTCAGAATCCCAACCAAACCCTGTTGTTTCAATCAATGCCTGAAACTCTCTCGTATTACGTCTAAGCCTATTCCACTTTGTTTTAAGCTGGTCTAATGTGAAATAGTTACCAAACTTACGTGCTATTTCATTACCAATTTGTTAGCGTTTATGCCCTTAGGAATAAATGTAACAATATTCTTTGAGATATTTTGACTATTAATAAAGATTTGTTTATTTCATATATCTATGTATTGTCCTCTTTATGTTCATAATAGTTGAATGTATGATAAACAAACTGAAAGTCTGAGACTGTCATTCTAAATCTTTAGGTAATGCATGTAATGTGAAGAACATGCGAAAGACAAGAATCTAAAGATGATAGTCTAAATCTTATGATTCACAATCGAGGGAATAAAGTTGGACGCTTTATTCATGTTAAGATTGTTATGTTGTCTACTTCCTAACGGAGACGACTTGTCTTGGTCGTCGGAGGTGGGACTCCATGGGTGGAGACATTGATATAGTTTCTAATGGTGAAATATATATTGGATCGGACCAAAGTTGAATTGTTTTAATTAATAATTCTGTTTGAATAAAACAATTCACTTTTGACGAATTATATGTTGTCATCTTAATCCTGAGATGGATGATGAACCTGTATACTTGACTTGTATCATTTAATGTACTAAAGGGAGACATCCTGACATTATGTAAAGGTACGCTTGCCGGTACATTGGGGGTATGACTCGTGTATGCGTAGATTCGTTATTCATAGATAGTGGAATCCATAGCTCCTATAAAGAGTCAATGATATCCTCTTATGCATTATCAATGGATTGGAAAATACGAGC